GAGCCGCCTAAGGATGAAGTTCTAAAGCAGCAAGCCACTAGCCCTGAACATTTGCGCACCCATTTTCCCAAAAATCCCTACTGTCCTTTGTGCCACATAGCAAAAGATACCGCCATGAGGGTTTCACATGTCAAAGATGGCAAAGCCGATGATTTTGTTGATCCCCCAAAGCAGCCGCTGGAACAGCTTGCTACTGATGACGTTATCTTAGCTAAAGGGTCTGAACACTTGGGTGTAGGTATAGGGGGAATAAGGTCGCATCATGTCATCCGCGATGCGTACTCTGGTGCGCGTGTTGCATACCCATTGTCTAAACGTACTGCTGACGCGCATGCTCGCAACTTTAGGCATTTCTTAGGATTGCGTGGATCAGAGCTCACCACCCGAACGTTCATCAAAATGGACGAAGCAGGCGACCTTGAGCAGGCGGCACATGCCGTAGGCATGGTTCCAGAAACCTCGTTGCCGAACAGATGGCCCCACAATGCCATCCTCGAGAGAGATGTTCGAGAGGAGAAAGAATGTTGCCGCACTGTTCACCTCCAATCTGGCCTTCCCTATGAGTATCACACATATAGCTATCCATATGCTTGCCTTTCAATGTCATTCGACAAGCCTTCAATAGCTGACCCCGACAAAACCCAATGGGAGTCGCTTACTAGGGATAAGTTTGATGGCATGAGGTTATGTTTTGGTCAGTTAGTGTATTATCGGAGGAAGTCACCCACCAAAAGGACTTTGGAGCCCAACATGTCACCTGGTCTATTTTTGGGTTGGAGGATTGATCCCGGTTTCCGATATAGAAATATCTTAAGGGTGTTAGATTACCAAGAGTATCGCACTAGAGGTGGGAATTCAGCCGTTGATGTTCCAGAAGCAGAAATCTTTGTCCCTGAAGGTGATCCTGTTTTTCCAGTAGGTTTTTCACGCCACCAAGCTCTCATCAGGGGGGATAACCCAGATGATCTTAAGTTGCCTGAATATGCCTTGAAGGATGTGCCCTTCCCCAAGGAGGGCGGAATAGCCTCACCCTCTACACCTGGTCTCAAAAGTCGCTCTGTTTATATAACCGTAGACCGTATCCTTAAGTGGAAAGAGACCCCTGGTTGCAAAGGCTGCACTGGCCATTCACGTGCGCACACTGATGAGTGTAGAGCCCGCTTCTCAATGTTGGTTGAAAAAGAAAAAGAAGCTGAAAAAGAAAAGAAAGCTCCACCACCCGAAAGTGAAACTGAAGCAGAAGACAAGGATGATGAAGCCCATGGCATCATCTTCCAGGGTGAGGACTTGCCTGACCTTTCCGTAGAAGATATACCATCACACCTTTCCGCTGAAGACAAAGCAATGGTTGAGGAAATCTTCATAAGAGGTGAGCTACCAGGGTCATCCGAACCCAGCGCTCCAGCCGAGCCTGCTGTTTCTGTTTCTGGTGTAGCTATTCTTCCCCAAGTTGCCAATCGATGTTCCGACCTATGTCAAAAGTCGCTGCCTGTTTTTGGTTGCCCCGCTGTAGGTAAGCCAACTAACCGCGATAATCGTAGGAGCCGGAAAGCTGCCAAGAAAGCTTCCAGACCCAATGCCAAGTCAACCATGTTTGAGTTTGCTTGTTCTGAGGACTCCCAGATGGGTTTTACTCACCAAGAATATGGCATTAATCATGTTAGACTTTGTAAGGATAGGATAGACCTGGGAGATGAGTCACAATGTGAGCAACTAGACTATCAGATAGATGAAGCCGCTAAGGTTGCACCTCCACATATGTGGGCCTCTATCCCTTGCACATCCGGATCTCCTTGGCAGTACATCAATAGGAAGAGGGGTGGTGCCGCATTCATTAGGAAGCTTGCCCACCAGGTCAAAGAGTCTAAACGGTTGTTTAAGAGTTTTTCCAAACGCGCTGAAAGGGTTCTCAATCATGGTGGTACTGTAACGTTTGAATGGCCAAGACCTTGCTCTGGCTGGAAAAGGCCTGACGTTGTAGCATTCTTTGAGAAGCATCCCCAGTTTATGACCGTTGGCTTTGAAGGGTGTACCGTAGGTTTAACCGACAGAAATGGTTATCCCATCAAAAAGCCATGGAAACTCAAGACCACTTCTCCCCGAATTGTAGAGGCGTTTCAAGATATGCGGTGCCGATGCCAGCAACCTCATTCCAGATGTGAGGGAGCTGAGACCACTCGCTCCGCAATGTATCCGCCCCAAATGACTAGTTTAATTGCGCAAGCTTTGTATCCCTCAAAATGTGCCCAGCAGTCCGTTCCTGCTATGCCTTGCCGACCGGCAAACAGCGAGCCTCAACCCCATAGGGAAATTGAGCAGCACCTTAAGCACGTATCCCCATTAGCTGGTTTTGAAGATTTAGCCCTAGCTGTTGAATCAGACCCCACTGCTAATAGGTTGGTTACAGAACTTCTTGACCATGAACAATTGATCGCCCAAGCCTTCCACCTGGAAGACCCTAAGGCGCCAACGCCTGAGATCAAAGCAATGGTCACTAAGCTCTTGTCCCGTGCAGAGATGTTGTCCAATCCCAAGGCCCTCGGGGCAATCCGCGCCGAAGCCGACGGTTTGGTGAAGGCTGGTACTTGGGACCTTAGCTCGGTCCGCGAGAAGGAAGATGTACGCAGGGAAGCTAAGGCTTCAGGTGTGTCAGTACACTTTGGTCAGCTCATGACCATCGCGTCCATTAAATTCTACGAGCTTGCAGACCACCTTCACAAAATGAAGGGGCGCATTGTGTACAGAGGAGACTGCGCAAAGGACGAACATGGTGCAGCCGCGGTTTACCAAGAACTCGGCGCAAATCCCACATCCGTCCAAGGGCTAAACGCCTGCCTGGCGTATGGGTCGCTGCCGGGTAACCGCGCGACGGCTGCAGATGCAGTCAAAGCTTACGTCCAAGCACTGTTATCTTCCAAATACAAAACCTGGATTGAGCTTCCCCCGGAGCTCCGCCCTAAGTATTGGAAGCAACAGTTTGTTAAGCCCGTAGTCCTCTTAATTAAAGCCTTATACGGTCATCCTGATGCCGGAGGCCTGTGGGAACAACACCTGAAAGTCATCATCAAGAACCTTGGTGGACAGGAAGTTCTAGAATACCCAGGAAACTTTTACTTTCCAGATACAAAGTTACTTCTGTCAACTTATGTAGACGATTTAACTCTAGCTGGCCCCGCCGACCAGCATGATGCATTCTGGAGTAAGTTAACCTCTGTGGTAGACATTGAACCCCCAGAGCCCATCTATAGGATTCTTGGACGCAACCATGTTGTTACCCCACTCTCCAAGACCGAAGGTCATGAAAAATGTGCAGCCTTCCAAGCCCAAGATGGCATGGTTTTTGATATGGCAGACTACGCTCAGCAGACCGTAGATTTGTATAAGTCAATAACTGGTGTCACCAAACTCAAGCATGCCGCCACGCCATTTCCACCTGAGGGATCCATCACCATTGAAGATGATGAAACTAAAGGGGAACTAGCTCCAAACGCATGTAAGATTTTGATGAAAGCCCTTTGGTTAGGTAGACTTGCACGTCCCGATATCATCAAGCCTATCAATGATCTGGCCACAAAGGTCCAGTCGTGGTCCAGGGGGGATGATAAGAGGGTTCTAAGATTGATCCAGTACATAGCCTCAACCCCACACTATAGGTTAGTAGGTACCATTCAGGACAAGCCTGAAGACCTAGAGCTCAGACTGTTTGTCGATGCCGACTTCGCCGGCGACAGATCAACTGCACGCTCAACCTCCGGTGGCTTCTTGGTTTTAACTGGCCCTAGTTCCTTCTTCCCACTTGCATGGATTAGCAAGCGCCAAACATCCACTTCCAGATCGACCACGGAAAGCGAGGTTGTTAGTTTAGCCCATTCGCTTTATCAAGAAGGTTTGCCTGCCTTACAGTTATGGGAGCTGTTGCTTGCACGCTCCGTAACCCTTAAGGTCCACGAAGATAATCAAGCAACAATCCTAGTCGTGAAGAAAGGATATAGTCCCAAGCTTCGCCATATAACTAGAACACACAAAGTCAATTTGTCTTGCCTGTCTGAAGTCTTCAGAGATGACTCTGCCGAGATAGAGTACACCCACACCGATGACCAGGCGGCAGACATATTCACCAAGGCATTGCCTCCACATAAATGGGCAGCAGCACTAATCCTTCTAGGAATCCGTACTGACCTCCCATTAGACCTGAAAGCCAAAGCATAGGTCGCTGTGAACGTCCGTTCACGCGACAGTAGTTGCTTAGCTCACTGCCAATGCGCAGTATGTGTGGAACAGGCGAGGGGGGAGTTGAAATATATCGACCCCTGAGCCCCACTATGTATAGCATAGGTAGTAGGTCATATGTAGAGCACTGCCGTAGCTATGATTCCATCCAATTCGAATAGCTATTCCCAATGTATGTACAGTTACAACAACACTTGCTTAGAAGCGTTAGGTAAGTGTAAAGTAGCCATAATTAGAAACCGATATTCCCCTTTCCCTAACAACAACCTGGGTCAGGGTAATATGTTGTTGATGTTGTGGCTCAAGTGCGGAAAATAGCTCCGTGCTTGGTTTTCATGTTGTATAAGAGTTGTGGTAGGAACTTTTGTGGTTCGACCCCCCTTTTGTCTAATATAATATAATATAATATAATATAATATATTATATATAATATATATGTATATATATTTAATATAATTTATATAATATATATATATATTATATATAATATGTATATATTATATTTATATATAATAGAATTTAATATAATATAATATAATATGATATATTATATGTAATAATATACATGTAATATCATATCATATAATAAAATATAATATAATATAATATAATAATCATAATATAATATAATATATATATATATATTTATATTTCATATTTTATAATATAATATAATATCATATAGTTTAATATAATATAATATATAGATATACATACATATGTGCTTGTCCATTCTTAATGTTGACGCCAATTTCCCGGCTTGGAGTCGCAGGAAGCAAAGGCGCGACAGGAGCTTGAGCGCTGCAAGGTGACCTTGGTGCTGGGTATAGCGGCTCCCAACCTTGAAAAGTTGGACATATTTTTTGGGGGAACACCATCTATGACATCATGGATGGTTTTAATCTTGAGGACCGACATTTTTTTCGGGTTGAGGATTACAGTATATGATCTAGCCAGAAATCAAGTTGTGTGGAGTACCCAACATTGGCAATGTTTTTCTTGATATTTGTTTATGTATAATCCATGGTTTCTCATGTTTTTTCCTCATTAAAATTGTTGTTTGAGGATATTCACCATCTTTGGACTTGCCCATATTACTCATTTGTTTTGAGGGTGGTGAAACCACCAGCCAGATAATACATTGAGTATACCAGAATTGAAAATGCTGGTAAAAACCATGGTTTCCGCTCCGATTTTCCCTTGAACCAATCCACTGAGATAAGAAACCCACATCCACTGGTGTTGCATGGCTCAGCTCCGACTTTTCAACAGGCGAAGTTCGAAAAGCGCCGGCCACCCAAAAGCCCTGAGTTGTCCAGGCACAGTGGGTGCAACCAGCATAGGGATTTCTTTCGAAGAAAGATTCGAAAGTGCGGAAAATCCATGAAAGGGTAGTCAAAATTGTCAACCCCCAAAATGGATGGTACTGAACTGCAACATGAAATAGTTTTGTGTGTCCATTGGCATCCTAAAAAATTGACCTCCCATATAACCAATCCATTTGGCATGACAATCCAACCGTGGAATGTGAGGAAACCACAGACGACGATCAGGTCATCATTCTCCATGAAGATTCGCTCCACTGTGGATCACCCTTTTTTTTGATGTATATGAATATCCGCGGTAGCCTCCATTGGTGACTTGGACATGTACGAGAGGGGAAGGGGGGTGGCCCCCCCGCTAACTTGCAGGGATTATATGTGTGTATGTATGTATATATATATGTATGTATGTATGTAATGTAATGTAATGTAATGTAATGTAATGTAATGTAATGTATGTATGTATGTATGTATCATGTTTATTTACATATATGTTTGGTTTCAGTCGAATTCACCCCATTCTTCACCAGGCTCTTGCACAAACTCAAGCGGAACGTGGCGTTCCTCGGCGCGTTTTGACAAATCGCCCTGGCAGAGGATTTCTCGGTTTGAAGGGGGGGATACCCAGTTGACTAATCTCTTGGGGTGGGTTATGTTGGGTTTCTTGTAGGACTGGTATTGTTTGGCTGCGGGAACGGCGGGAACATATATGGTAGCTGATGTTCGGTGGCCGGGTGGTGACCGTGGATCCCCCAGGCGTGAAATGCGGGACGCGCAGCAGGGCTTTGTGATCCAAAAGGTGACGGAGAAGCACGGCAAGACAGAGGTGCAACCTTTGGGTCATCAGGGGTGGCTGGAGTGAAAGTGGTAATGTTAGTGAAACCATGGTATGAATAGGATCCACCATCCCCAGTAAACCACAGATGGGTTGTATAAAGCATGAAAATCAGGTTGGTTTATTATTGATTTACCAATTTTGGTTTAAATCACAACATTGGGACTTTGTCACTGAAGAATAGGTTAATAATGATGGGTCTTAAGTTGAGGATCTTCAAACCAGGGAGGAACATCCATCAATCCCAACCGTATGGGTAGGTCAATGGCCTTAGGGTATGGAAAGAAACACTATGAAATTAACCATGTTTACCGTAGAGTTTCTAGGGGATAATTCAACCATGTATGCTGTTAGCTATTTACTAGTTAGTAGGTATATCAACCATATTGGGTCTTCCATAGTCATGGGGGTACCGCAAGAGCTTACATTGGAAAATCCAAACATAAAATGGATGAATTAAGGGTACCACCATTTATTCTTTAAGTTTTTCCCATAGTTCATCGCAGCCAGGTTCGACGCGTGGCAGTTCCTGAGACGCCGACTTTACTTGGGCCGAGCGGGCTGACCCTTCAAATAAAAACCTGCCATTCACGGCGGTGAGGATTAATCCCTTAGGGAGAAAGTTTTCAAATGACCAGAGTCCAGTCACTACGCATGGGGTAAGGAATCACGATTAGTAACCCCTACAACATTACAACTATTGTTATATTATATAGTCATATACCGACTTATGAGTGGGACTGCACCCGCAAGTGCTCTGTTGAATTTTTTGGCTTACCCTCTGTCATCAAACTTGGCATGCTGGTTTATCCTCCATTTGTGCAGTGTTTAACCAGCTCTAAACACGATGGTTACTACCAGTAGAAAGTTTGCAGATAGCAAATGATGGGGATAGTTGCTACCCATCTTTTTTGGATGTCGAAGGTTGGCCACGAACCCATCATCCATGACAGATGTTGATGATGTTGGAACTATATTTGAGGTATAGCAGAATATAGCAAACCCCAAAAAAAGATGCTCAAAAGTGTTTCCAGGATCTTATAGATGACCTTTACCTTATATTTCCAGGTTTGCACTGTTTTCTATCTATGTTGGAATTGCTATTTTGGTGACAACTGGGCCACGGAGTGACCGGCTCGCCCAGGTTTGTCCCCACACCCGGATCCTCAAGTGGTGCCATGCAAACGAGTCCTTCGGTGGGGCCCCAGAGGCTTTGGAACGTTTTGAATTCGGAATGTAAATAGATTCATACGATATTGTAAGATATTATAAGATAATATAAGATATAATTCTGTCTCTATGGTATATTTTGGGTCCTACAGAAGAAGGCGAATAGACTTATATAAGAGACAATGTTTATCTCGATTGCATATTTTTGGGCCTGCTTTGCCAGATGTTTGGAGTAACTGGTAGCGAGCACAATGTCTACAATGTCTACAACCTGCGATATATATGTATATATATATATAGTACATATACATAGATTTCATGTTTGAATTCTACACCAATACAATATATACCCAGCAGAATTTGCGGGGTTGCACGCAGAGCTGGTCGTTTCGTCTCTTAATCGACCCAAATTTCTCCCGTTGTAGCTGGGGTGTTGGCCAAGCTCCGCGCAGAACATACCTACCTGGAAGTGGCTGAACATGGGAACCCAAAAACGACCATCAAATGATGGGCAAAATGATGTTTTAAACAGATGTTAAAAATTAAACTTTATCAAATATCCATAAAGTATGCCCATAGTATCCCATAGTTACCCATATATAGTATCCCATATATCATATATAGTTACTGGGGTAAATATCCCATATGAATCCCATATGATTCCCATGTCATAGCCATGTCATAGCCATGTCATAGCCATGTCATAGCCGTTCAACTTCTAAGGTCCAACTTCTAAGACTTTGGAGTTGCGACTTGCCCGGCTCCCGGAACCCGGGTGGGCTGGCTGTAGGATCAATCAATCAATCAATGAATGAATGAATGAATGAATGAATGAAAATGTATATATAGATAGATATAGACAGATATAGAAAAGGCTTCGAAAAGATAGAAAAGTGAGTATCCTTATCAGTCTTATCTTATCTTATCGTGTTTTATCTAATATATCAATCTATCAATCGATCAATCAATCTATCAATCTATCTATCTATCCATCCATCTATCTATCTATCTGTCTATCTATCTATCTATCAATCAATCTATCAATCTATCATAATCTATCATAATTAATCTATCTATCTATCAATCAATCTATCTATCTATCTATCTATCTTAATCTAATCTAATCTAAGCTTATCTTATCTTATGAAATCTATCAATCTATCAATCTATCTATCTATCCATCCATCCATCTATCTATCTATCTATCTATCTATCTGTATGTCTGTCTATCTATCTATATATCTATCTATCTATATATCTGTCTATCTATATATCTATCTAATCTAATCTTATCTGATCTTATCTAATCTGTTCTAATCTATCAATCTATCAATCTATCAATCTATCAATCTATCCATCCATCCATCCATCTATCTATCAATATATCTATCTATCTATCTTATCTTATCTTATCTTGTCTTATCTTATCTTATCTTATCGTATCTATCAATCGGTCAATCTATCAATCTATCAATCTTTCTATCTATCAATCTATCATAATCTATCTATCTATCTATCTATCTATCTATCTATCTATCTATCTATCTATCTATCTATCTATCTATCTATCTATCTATCTATCTATCTATCTATCTATCTATCTATCTATCTATCGTTCTATCTATCTATCTATCTATCTATCTAGCCATCTAGCCATCTAGCCATGTATCTATCTATCTATCTATCTATCTATCTATCTATCTATCTATCTATCTATCTATCTATCTATCTATCTATCTATCTATCTATCTATCTATCTATCTATCTATCTATCAATATATATATATATATATGTATGTCTATCTATCTATCTATCTATCTATCTATCTATCTCTCTCTCTCTCTCTATCTATCTATCTATCTATCTATCTATCTATCTGTATATATATATATATATATATACCCATGCAATTATTGACTTAGTAGTAGACCATTCAGTGTTTAGGCGTTTGATTTTTTTTAGCTATTTCCAGAGCGTGACTGTGTCAATGGCCGTAGACTTTTGCATGGTTGACTTTGATATATAAGTAGTAGTATGATGTAGTACGGTAACTTGGCTTCCCAAGAGGAAGAGCAGGTTGACACAAATAAATATATGATATGTACTATATACATGATTGTGTATATTTATATATATAGCTAGATCTATGGCGTTTAGGGTTTTGAATTTTAGTTGATGGATTTGATTCTGCAAAATTCTGGTCAGTTTGGATAGTTTGAGATCTATTTCCACTTTGATTATATGAACAAATGAAAAACATCGCGATCTGCATGGTCTTCAGATTTTGGTTTGCCCATGGAAAGCTTGAAAATCCCCTGTACATCATTCCTATTCAACGTACTTGAACTGGCAACTTCCAACAGAGTTGGTGTCAGTTACTCACTTTTACTCATGTGTTTTTTATAAATGGGAGAGTCATCTTCATCCTGAGTACACCCTTCCGGCCCCAGTGGTTTGGTCCCACTTCTCCCAGCCGGCGCGAAGTAAAGGTGCAAAAGTTGGAGTTCGGCCCAGCCGCTCGCGCTGCCAAGATCCTTCCAGAGGCCATGGCGAAGGTATCCCCAGAAACCATGGTGGATATAGGAGATTTACACCTTTTTGAGACTATTTATGGGGTGTTTAATAATTATGTTTGAAGTTGAGCATTGCATTACAGGATTAGTTTCTTCTTCAAACATGAAGTCCAAAAACTGGCAAAATCAAGGTCGAAACTGCCAATCATGGAGCTCTTGTCTACCAAGAACTGGTGGTACAACCTTTCACTAGCATCAAAATGTGGAGTGACCTATCCTTTGTGACCCCTTCCTGTAGAGTTGCTTGAATCCCCCCATTATATGCATGTGTTTCATTGTTTTTCATCATTTATGTATAAATAGATATATTCCCATTTCCCATGATGGTTTGTTATATTTGACATCCCACACATAGAACCCCGGATCTTCCCAGCCGGAAACTGCTGCAGGTATCACCTTGGCATTGCTTCTCCTTGGTCACAGCTGAAAGGCCCAAACTCGTCGTGCGGGGATCCCAAAAGTAAGGATTTAACCATCCGAAATGGGTGATTGGCGGATTAGCCAACAAAAAAGGCTTCGCCCGCAGGAAATGGCCATGATATCAAGCAGCACCATGCGGCACGTATAATCATCGCCTGTGTGCCAGGTCCTACGATTTTATCGCTTCAAATGAGAACTCAACTCGTTGCTTTGCGACTTGATTACAGACGAGATGGCGAGGATGATGACTTTCCATGGGACTTGAGGAGTTGACCCAATAAATGAGGCAATGCCCCGGGGGATGTTGAGAAATCCTTCAATTGTTGAGAAAAGACGAGAAAGGATTGGTTAGAAAAAATGCCAATTGACTTTTGTCAACGGAATGGTTGAGGCAATCCCCCAATTTTGAGATGTCTGTTTGCACATCACATCCCTTTTTGCTGATTTGCCAAGCGCATTATTGGGTATGGGTAGGTGAATGGCCCTATTCATTCTACATCCACACCTGATAGCCTAGATCCATGTCTAGTTGTATCATCTGCCCATTTTGGCTGGTTGGTAGAAATACCTCGAAACACTCACTATCCACACAGGCGCGCGTTTGTTGATTGGAAACCACTTTTGGTAGGTTCGCTGCCCTGTTTGTTTTCTCAACTACCTTTGGTTCCAAAAACATGTAACTTTGACATCCCGCGTAAGAAAATCATAGGCACATTTCTCTTGGTCCTGGGATCTTAAATCCATACTTTGATCGCTTCAGGTTTGAATCACATTTTGGTGGTTCAACACAGTTCATCCACATGTTTGTTGGTTTAATTCCCAATTCTGATTAGTTGTGTAAGTCTCCATTTTTGTTGGTAGTAAAACTGCATTGATTTGTTGGTCATGCCGAAGTGCCCGTTGCTCCACCATGAGGTGCTGTCTATCTCCAGGTTGTGCGAGGGCACAGCTGCTGCTTGGCATAGAGCTGCGGTTTTTCTGCGGTAACATCCACCAGCCAAAAGGGCATTAAATTTGAATATCATTAAATATCTGGGTACCCTCTGGTAAACTAACATAACTATGGAAAATCACCATTCTTAATGGGTAAATCCACTATAAATAGGGTATTTTCAATAGCTACGTTAGTCATTACCAGAGGGTAATTTATAGTAAGACCTCACGTCGCGATCTCACTGGAATGATGCAAATCGGATGGGAATTATCTAGAAATATTGGCCTTATTTCAGGTGAGCGAATTCCTATTATCATTAGTAATCTGGTTGGTGGTTTGGAAATCACCATCCCTTTAGGCTAATAAATATGGACCTAAGGCATATGATGATTACATGATTTTTACACCTGTGCTGAATTAATTTCTCATTGGCAGGAGGCAACAAATTTGAAGACCTCCAACATCTATTTTTACATTTATTGAATTTCAAGGATTTTCCAATAATTTGCAAGGAATAATATACCTTCTATAAATCTATATTACATGTGTAAATGATGAAAAAGTGTAGAATGTATTGAAAATAACAGGCAATTGAGGCCCTCTAGGGATACAGATTGCAATTATGATTTTATGCAATTCTGCAGCTATTGCAGACCTCCACACTATTGTTCTTGCATTTTTTCATGTTCTTACATTTGTTTCCGTAAAATGCAACTTGCAATATTGGACGCCCCCCTGGAAAATAATTGCAAGTCGGTGAAACGTGGGGGTACATAATTGCAATCTACGAACCTATCAAAATGCAAGCTTGCAATAAAGACGATGAAAAAAAAATGTAAGCATACATTTTCATAGGTCCCCCCCCAAAACAACGTCTTATTGCAAGCTTGCATTTTGAGCGTCCCCCCTCCTTAAAAGGGTGGTGATGTTTGGATTTTTTTTATTTTTTCCATATATTGGGAATAGTAACCCCAACTGACTAATATTTTTCAGAGGGGTTGAAACCACCAACCAGTAATTATGATTGATCATTATTATGATTGTTTCAGGGACGTAACCAGCAAAAACTGGGATTTCACACAGAAGTCGGACCAGAACGCAAAAGCAACTCAAAAATGGTGAAGGAAAACTGGCAATGTTCGGAACTGACCCGGGCTTCGTCTCACAATCTTGAGTCACAATCTTGGGGTCCCAGGTCATCGAGGAAGCAAGGAGTTGGTGATCTTGACACATTGTACATCTACATGATGATACATTGCATGATGTACGTATAGTAATAGTATAGAGGTAGAGAGAGAAGATGAGAGAAATCACGTCTACAGTGGAATATGCATGCATGTGTATAGTATATATATATGTTTACATTATATATACGTTGCTGGTTTCCATTCATACCTGAGACCGTTATCTCCCGGCAAATGAACCTACCAACCAGTAACGATCTCACAATTTTGCTGGTCAAGTGCCCATATGTTGGATTTTTAAAGTGACTTAAATCACAATTTTGGATGCCTCCCCAGGTTTCTTGACCCAATCCCCCGCTGTTTTCCCTTGTTTTTGGTGCAACTCAGCAGCACTTTCTTCGCATCGCAGCCTGGGTTTCTTTCGGTCAGGAAGGGATCTTCCGGACACGGCACGATTTCGCTGGGACACCCAGATTACTTGGTGATGATTGGTTGATATAGGTGATATATCAGTTGATATACTTGGTTGATTTTTCGTGATGATCTTAAAAACATTTAAAAACCCTGTTGGTTGATGATTAGTTGGGAATTATATACTACGCTTTATATATTGGCTCAGAACGGGCAATCCCACTCTTAACCAACCAGGATTAAATGGAATGATCGAGGGATTTATTTCACACTGCTCAATTGACACGGAAAAATCAGCCAACCAGGAATTCTGGGTACTTGGGATATGAGATGATCAAAATAGGATCCACTGGTGCTAAAGTTTCTGTTCACGAACTCCAGGATGTTTTACTTGGGAAGATTATCCCAGTTTCTGTTCACGCACAAGACCCCATTGTTGGTTGATGATTTCTACTGTAAACTATCACGACCTCACGACGCGATGTCACTGGAATTTGCTTGGCTAGAGGGCAGCTCCTTGCGTCGTGGGGGATGATGATCATGGGGATGATGATCCACGAACTTGCCCGCCTGGCGATGTTGTTGTTACACATGTGTATGCCACATGATTACATGCGCATTGGTTCAATATAAGAGGCAGTGAAAGACATTGGTCTTAAGTCGGTACGTTATGTATTCAATGTGGTTAAATTTATTCAACGCATCGTTGGCTGAACTCTTTTGATTTCGCAAATCGGCAGATTCTTGGTCAAATGTTGCAATTTTCATCTCGAGCACTGGCAAAATAAATTTGAATCAGCACTATTGATTAAATGTTGCTAAAAATCGTGTTCAATAGTGCAAAAGCCCCAGTTCAAGTGGTTAAATCCCTATCTTTATTGGTTAAAGCTTCAGCTGTCCAGAATTTCATCCCAAGTCACACCGAGGAAGTGACGAAGGGCTGGGCTCGGCTGAAACTAGGCACGTTATTGTTGGAACTCCAAGTTGAAGCTCCTCTGGGATCCAGTGAAAATAGGACTTTGACCATTGAAAGTGATATACTCCTCAAGAGTGGGTACGATGGCACATTGTGAAGCATATAGTTCAGTATATCATCCATCTCAACTTTCAAAGGGAGTCCTCCCCAAAAGCGGTGATATATTGAACCATATACTGGTAAGGTCCATAATGTAGGATTCACAAGGACATAAACTGCCATAAACTAACAGTAGAGGATGTTCTGACTATTACTAGAATGTTTGCGATCATTCTTTTGCCCCTGGGTGTTTGATTGGGGAAATGATGATGATGACGGTGACGGTGATGGTGATAGCTGCGATATGCAGGCTGCAAACGCCGTGGCAGCTCTGTGACACAGGCCGATGTCAGTGGGAGTGGCAACCTGGGCGGGTAAGTAACCAGCAAAACTGACGCCCAACAAGAACAAAAAAAATGTAGAGGGATTGTTTACCTGAATGTAATGCTGATCTAACACACTAACCAACAAGACTTAGGAGACACCCCCTTCACGAGCAAGGGCACTATTGCATGGGGTATAGGCTTCTGTTTGGGGATTGAACCCTCGTTCTACACCAGTTTCAAGCTGATTTCTTTCACCCCAGTTCATTGGTATAGAGCTGGGCTATCAGGGGTTGGTTCCACCAAAATTGTGGTTAGTTAAATTACAGTATTTCAAATCATCCAAAACCTCCAATTCGAAGTAGAAGCTTGGATTTGCTTGAAATGAACAAACAAATCTACAAAGAAAGGCCATATCCCCGGAAAATCCACCTTTTACCGTATTTTTTCTGAGAGCCATTTGGACGATGGGCATTGAGCACTCCAGGATTTCCTGGTGGCGCTACAGAAGGTGGGTGCCACGCTCCCCAAACCAACTCCCAAACTGATGATGCCCACGGACGAGGCAATGATCAGCCAGGGTTGGAGGAATTCTCACTGATCCCCAAACGGGAATAAGATGTACCGTAATTTCATGTAATTTCATCATGGTTATCATAGTAGTTAACGGTAACACAACCCAATGGTAAGACAAGTTCAGCAATGGTAATAAGTTCACTAATTGTATTATAATATTCCATATGGTTATGGAAGAAGTTCACCAATCTGGTACTGTAGTACTTGAAATTAGAATGGTTATATAACCCAATGGTAATATATTATCATATGATATTATATAATATAACATATAATATATGAGTACATACAACAACTTTAAAATTTATACAACTCAAAATAGCATGATATCATTTATACGATCCTGGAACCACCATATTTATATTGGTTCACGATTTTGCTATTTTGGGTGATATGATCGTTATATAACATTTTTCAAAATGACTATTGTAAATACCATGAATATTATGGGTCTATAGCCATTGGGTTTAAAGTTATGGCTACAGTATATATATATATATACATAACCTGAATGGTTCATAATTTTACCTTGGATGATATATCATCCAAGCACCACTGGTAAATATATACATATATATATATATATGATATGATAAACCTTTCTGGTTAAAGAATGATGTAAATTATGACTTATCCATTTCCTCAGGTTGGATGAAGTGAGATTTTACGGTTGAAAAACCCTGGTCATTACCACCTTAAATACGTTGGACTGAAACCTCTCGGTCCCAATTCTCCATATGGTTTTTGGGGAGGAAAAGGCCAATATGCCAATGTGCGAATTCCATTCGTACTTGCGAAAAACCCAGTTACTAACTTCCAAGATCATCCCATTTGAAATCAAGAAATGTATGGAAGCCTAGGTGGGATATCATCACCTAAATTTGATGGAGAGACAAAGGGAGTGTGTTGAAACAAGCAAACAAAATATGTGGACGTTTGTAATATAGGGGAAAATATGGTAAAAATCAAGGCATGAACATGGAAACCTGAGCCCCGCAAAATGAATATGATGATCGTTTTGGCACACAGGGATCATCCATGAAAACTGAAAAAGGGCAGCATGTTGACCCCGTTCACCCACCAGAAGTACAAAGAAGTGATGGCTAATAGGAGTTAGTGTACACTCTGACTTGCTATGTGTTTTTCGGGTTGAACAATTACCGTACTGTTTTTGTTGTGATGCAATGGGTCCCGTGGATTCTACGCCATAGCCTGCCAGAGCCCCTATCTCGCAAATCTGTTTCCTGCGCTAAACCTCTACTTTGTCAAGATGTCTCAATTTTTGTCAGACAGAATGCCACAAGATATATTAGGAAAATGACTCTGAAAAGAACCAATGTTTAGTGGAAACATATGGACACTGATCTTCCAACCCCTGTCTGACAGGGTCTATGCTAATTTACTGGAGGGTAGATAAAATGTCACAAACAAAGTCAGTTTTTTCACAGTTGAAATGTCGGAAAATATTGCAGTCGCAGACACACCCAGAATATGTGGTAGATAAGAATGGTACATACCCGTTTACATATCGTACTATGGCAGTGACTGCCAGTGGAATGTCATTTAATATGTCATTTTGTATGCAAGGATATGTGTCAAGACAAGTGCTGGCAAAAAAGAGGGTTGACAGGTCAGGACGCGTTTGAGACCTCTTTTGGTGGGAATACCTCCAAGTAATGTAATGATATTCACGAAGTGAAGTTGTTTGCATAGTTCCACGCTATCCTTTTTTGAGGGGCGATTTGTAGTGCCTTGGGTTGCCAAAATTTGAGCCCTCCAATCTTTAGGAAAGCCCCCAAAAAGAGCCAAACTTCCAAACTCAAAAGGCTTCAAGGGTGGGTTCACTATTTGGATGTGTCTGAAGATAGGGAACACGATAAAGAAGGGAAACTGATAATTTGCACCGGTAATGATATAGAAGCTCCCTAGGTTTGTTTGATAGGGTACTCCAAGATTTGATATTTAAAAGAAGCATTTTGTCCATTGACATTGCCATCTATTGGTGATAGATCCATCAGTTTCGCACAGACCCATATACCACATCAAGTTGGTGTTAAATATATCCCATGAAATATCCCATATAATACACCCATTGTATTCCATTGTATACCCATTGAACAATAACATATTCATTGTTTACAACTCCCTTTTTTTCATGGTCAAATCACCAAAACCGCCCACTGAGAGGCCTCTTCAAAGCCGGCAGCTCAGGGATAGCTTCCTCCAACTGATCAAGCTATGGCTATGGTGCTGAAAAACAAAAGGGGGGGATACACCCAACAAACATACACCTGCCAAGTATGGAGATGGAAGGCTATCCGACTTTTACGTGTGTCATTCTCAAGGTCTATGTTAAATAAAATGGGTGGTATATATTACTTGTAGTCTGGACTTCAAATATCATATCAAGATATATCAAGTTGATTAGTTGTCTTATATCCCATTATAAACCCCTATTAAACAGCATTAAAAACCTATTACCAAGCCTATTACAGCCAAGGACTCCCAGCATTTCTCCCAGCATTTCTTTGAGGCCGATGGACCTCTTCGACTTCTGCAATGAGCCGAAGGAGGAGCCACCGCAGCCCCTCGGAGTTCTTGATGGGGAAAGATTTATTGGGATTTCATTGGGATTTCATTGGGATTTCACTGGGATTTAAAGATTTATTGGGATTTCCATCCCAAGATTTATTGGGATTTATTGGGAGATCTAATGGGATGGAAGTGAAATGCAAAGGCCACTCGACATGGCCTTAGCCACGCTGAGCCGCCATGGCCGCCATGTCCCATTGAGTTCGATTTTGTTTATCGGTCAACAACTTGGTGGCATGTTGTGAGGGCAGTGGCATGTTGTGACTTACATAACCATCAACAAATGTGATTTACCCCCGAAGAACAGGGATAATTAATGATAATTATGGCAATAACATCCAATAACGATCTATAGGAAATTAATCTTAGCCACCTACTCTGGTTGAAACCTTCAAGACCCGAACATCCAGCGACACACCAACTAGTTTGATATGAAAACCCAGGTATCAGGGTCTTGACCCTTGGTAATGGTGTGCGTTCTACTGAAGCTGGTTTCATAGAGATACTCGTACCTGGATACCCCGCTGGAAAGTGATGACTGTGAAGCTACTTGGGACATCTCGGGACCATGGTCAGTTTCCACAACTGTCCCATGTGGGAGGTCCACTTTCGCTGTATCTGTATCCTTTTGATGAAATGTGACAGTGCAGCTACTGTTGATGTTTGATGATGTTTGAACTTATCTGAGGCCCTGCTCGGCCCATTAATATGTGTTTTCTTGTGTTCTAGAACATGTCCCATGCTGTAGCTTCGCCACCTCTTTCGATGCCAAGGCGCACCATATCTACAGGCTCTGGCATACCGTCCTTCAACAGCAGCGCTGGCGGGGCCACTACGCCCAAGAGTGCGGCTGGTGGAGCGGCTTCGCCCAAGAGCAACAACGGGTCCTTCAAGCCGCTGGGGAGGCGGGGTGCCGATGGACATGGGACGATCATCCTATAGTGGATGTACTATTGGTAGGTTAATATATATATATATACATACATATATATGTATATTAGATGATAATCTTGAGTAATGCAATTTTCAAGACATGTTAGCACATGTTAGCACATAAAAGCCCTTTTTTTCTATACTTAAAAGCTACTAGACATATGGCTATTTTGTCCGATCATCCTATTAGGTCGTGTTGACGTACGCCGTAGTGACTACTCCATGTAGATCCCATGGCCTGGTAGCTGCTTAGCAACGTCCAAATAGCTGATCTGGATATCTGCTTGGTGGTTTGGAACCATGGAATTTTGAATGACTTTCCATATATTTTGGGAATGGAATAATCATCCCAACTGATTTTTACTCCATCATTTTTCAGAGGGGTGGGTCAACCTTTAACCAGTGATATTATGTGTTACACCTGTTAAGTGGGATGATTCAGGGATAGTGAGGTGACTGAAACAGCAGTGATACCCGTTTACCTTTGCGAAATGATCATGCAAGTAAGGCTCAATGTCTTCTCTGGTTGAAGCTGCAAAGATTGATTCAGCATGTTTCAGCAAGATGAATCCTGCATTTACATGCATTTGCTGGGGAAATCGCGATTAGATACACAGCAAACAGTGACAATGGGCAAATGACTGCGAAGTATGTGTTGTTGGATTCAATGGGGTCATACTGTGGCACAAGTATGTGTCCAACAGATACCCCTAAATTTGATGCATCAACTTGTACCTCTGGGATATGCCAATTCTGGTTGGCTGCCCAATCTCCCAGTGACTGGACCTTCCCTAACTCTACCAAGCAGTTCGGGTAAAATCCCTAGGTTTGGTAAATTCAGGGTGTTTGATTTCACTTGATTTCACATACTTCATGTAGAATAATACCCTTTTAACCCCCTGGTAAATCACCTTTAACATGTTTTAACTTCAGGATTCCGCCGGCAAACAAAGCCTCAGGCTGGCTTCTGCCACAGATGATCTCGGAGCCAATGCCAGGTGCCGAGTCAGCTTCCTTCTTTAAGTGACCAGAACTGGCCAAAATCATGGTTACGGTTGGAGAATCCAAATCAAGTTTCAAGATGATGCTTCGGATCCAGTCAAGTTATGTCAAGTTTCATCTCTTGTGGTAGCTGAACTTCACAAAGCAGGGCGATGGTCGGTGTAGCTGATATTTGGGCAGCTACTGAGCAACGCTTGAGGGGCTTGATATCGAGATCCTTGATGTTTGGGTCATGGTTTCCAAGATGATGATGTTGATGTATTGAAAATCTCAGAGTTTTTGAGTGTGTTTGGGTCAGTTTTCCATAGTTCACTAGAAGTGGAAGTGGATTGCAGGTAAAATAGCTGCAAAACGGAGATCGATCCCCCTGACATGTATCCAAAAATAAGGATCTTCTCTGGTTTTCCATCGTTTTTCTCCGGTAATAATCCCTTGGTTACCCCCAAACGAAACCATGGGGGATGTAGTGAATTTCCACTTCATTGGGAGCATAGACTGGGGATAACTAATATGAACAGTGCCATGGCGCCAGGGGCTTAATGGCCTGGATGACGCCCTTCGGATCGTCTGGAGGAGCTCCGGACAATCGGGTGGAGTCTCAGGTTTTTTTGAGGTCATGTTTAGTGGTTTAAGATGATGTAAACATATTAGTGATTTATTTGCTTATTTCCTGGGATTAATCTTAGTTTAAGACTTTCAGGTCATATTTTCGTGGTTTTCCTGGGCGCCCAAGTTTTACTGGTTCAACCCCCTAGTTGCCAGGTTTCTGCATTCGCAGAAATTCTGGTACCCAATTGCATCCCATATATACCGATTTTAGAAATATTTACATAGACAGCCTTGGCTCCAAGTTAGTCGGTGGTTGCTATTTTTTGCTGATGGTAGTTGCTGTTTGAAAGTTGTTACAAGGTGGTGCCCCCCAGTTATAAGTTGGTTTATAATCCCACTAACTATAGATATATCTACCATAAGTCCTAGTTATTGGAGTTATAAACCAACTTAGCTATCGAACGGGAGCCCCACTTTGTAATGCTTGTAGAAATGTTGAAAAAGATGCTGGAGAATCCCCAGACTTGGTTCACGGCAACATTTTTCAAGGACACCTCATATTCGTTCATGTTGATTGAACCCATCCAATGAATATCGTATAGATATCGTATAGATAGTGGCTGAATCCTCGAATTTTTTTTGATCCTTGCCATGTTGAATCCTCCATAGTTTATGGTTGAATCCTCCAATCATCCTCTTTATGTTTCGTGGTGAAATCATGGTTAAAACCAGTCAAGCACACAGTATGTTAAATCCAATAATCCTCCACATATGTTTCATGGTGAAACCAGTTAAGATAGGAATAAAGACGGTCAACACGGAGTTTCTCCGTGTCTTCAGCCCCGTGGCCAGCTGTGTGGCCGAAAGCTGGTGAGACATGGGCTGGGCATCCCAGGTGAAACGCTACGTGAGTGCCATGGAGTTCGTTACCGAGTTAGTAAACTTATTACTTGCCATGTAGTTAGATTGTAATTTCCGCGGGTTATGAGCCACAAGAAGCTCAAAATCAACCAATTAGTCAATCAAGACGGGTCTATATGAGTCTACAAACCAAAATCAATCCATGAGTCAAAATCAATCAATGCCATGAATTCATAGCAATCACTATGAAACAGTATACGTAGGTTTATGATGATTTGTGTCAATCAACATTAATCATTGCGAATCAATATGAATCAATCCGAATCACAGTGAATGTATACGAGTCAAGATCAAACAATATGAATCAATATGATTCGATATGAATCAAAACCAAAAAATGAGTGAATATGAACCAACATGAATGAACATGTATCGACTATATATATAATTAGTGTGTTCATTTGGTATATTTATATTTATATAATTTTATATATGGGAACATGTTTAAGTATTCTAATAGACTAATATCCTTCTAGTGTATGATATGATGTAATGTAAGAATAAAAATATGAACAACACATGGAGATAATCGTGGACAGTCGTGCTGTTTGACTTTTGGATCAGGCCTGATGCATTGGGCCCGGGACACCGTGGCTGTTGAAATCACCAACCAGCTATGTGTATACGCATCTACTCCTTGTTAATACCCTATATAATGTATGTATATATATATATATACACCTTATCATATATATATAGATGTACCTTATTATATATACATATATATATATTATTTATATATATATATATACAAATACGTACTGTATCATTAGTACTATTATCCTTATTGTTGTTATGTTCAATTATCATCAGTTAGATGTCCTGCATTTAATATATCTACACATATCCAAACTTAAGGAAACTCAGCACATGTATAATATATATATATATATTTATATATACACATACATATAAATGATTAAATGCATATATATATATGATACGATATATATATATACACACACACACGTATGATTTAGAGTTTACATAGCTGAGAATTCCCTGGCGCAAGGTCTTCACTGGTGCTGTGGAGCACGTGGATCTCTACCGCAGCGCAGAGGGCAGCGAGTGGGTCAACGAGATGTGCGCCGCAACGCGGGGGGTCAACGGGACGTTGGGCATGATGGATTCTGTATGGATATCTGTATGGATTGGAAGATGTTGGATTTGAATTGATACGGATAAAAATATAGATTTATGTGGATTTATATGGATTGATACGGATTGATATGGATTGATATGGATTGATATGGATTGATATGGATTGATATGGATTGATAGTTGTTATTGGTGTCACTGTACATGCTTGATTCTTTCATTTTCTTTGGGATATAGTTCATGGATTCTCAGCAGCGCAGGTCGTAAACCAATACTAAACATGGACTAAGTTCCAGGATCTCAGGTCTTATCACGGAGATGATTCTTAATGTCAAGACTCTCGAGACTTTTAAGACTCAAGAAAAAAGGGTGAAACATCTCCCAGAATTGATGTGATGCTTTTGGGTTCTAGATATCTCGTCCGTTCTGTCCCTATCTGGTATGTTTCAACAATTAACGGAGGGTTTTCTGCCCCAATAATGTACTCTCCGTTAAGTTGACATGCACTGACATAGAAGCCCACCATGGATTTTACATGTCGATTTACCGAGGGGTCTGTCCATGTATGGTGTAGGAAATGTAGCGAATGGAGCTGATGTGAGATCCTCAAACTTCTGTACCACCCAAGCGACCCAAAAATTATCTCTTTGGGCTAAGTGAAAGGCAAATATGTTGCTTCCAACAGCGGCGAAGAATGCAAGTTTCTTAACTACAAAAGAAGGACATTTGGTCATATTTTGTTCAGGCGATTTACATACCTGTATATATATATAATAAAAGTAAAAGAGTTTTCCAAGATCTCTTGCGGATTTGTCCGGTGCTGAAATCGTCACAATGGCGGACTGATAGGTTTCATCAGATACACCTGTTCACTGATTGGGCTGCGAATCCACACACCTTGAAATCGTGGTCCAAATTCTATGTGACATATAAACATCTAAAAGCAAAACATGTCTGAAATGTTTCAGCCACATATATTTGTTATGTACCACTATGTTTGGGGAATGAACCCATACGCAACCGTTCAAACATGTTGACGCTATCAACACGGGATGATGGTTCAAACGCAAAGTGACGATTTGTGCGCTGTCGCCAAATGGCGATTTGGTATGGATTTCTTATCCCAGTCGGAAGTTGGTTTTGAATTCAGAATCGACAGGGGATATAACCCCCCAATTTTAATCATCATTAACCAATATTAATCATCATTAACCAATATTTACCCACATTAACCAATTAAAACCGGCGTTCACCCCCCAAGCCCAGGACCTGTCGATCTCAGAGTGAACGCCGGGTTGGGTGCCTCAGGGAGCTGTCTCAAGATGACAACATCCCCATGTTTTCCGAACCAAAAAAGCACGGTTTCTGGGGTGTGTCTAATATCCCATAGGATCCATGTATGCCATATATGGTAACATTTGGGGTATATTGATGGTAAATGTTACCATATATGGCATACATGGATCCTATGGGTATGGTTAGGGGACTTTGATGAGTTTCTATTTGTCATGTTCAACCAGATTTTGGGATGATGATTCCCAATGTCGAGCAGATGTTGCACGGGGGTTGTGGAAAGCACCAGCCAATAAGTATCAATAAGGTATATTAATTCACAAGTACGCCTTGGATGAGTACTTGAGTCATCTTTAATTTTTCATTTTACAATATTTTACAGTATATGGGGATATATCAACCATGATGGGCTAAGCATTGTTTTTCTATTCTTTGCAGGCTGTCACCCACATGTAACTGGGGTGTATCCCTTATCAGACAACGGGGCGAGCAAAGCATGTTTTTGTTTTTTTGGATTTCCCCAAGCACGGGTGACTCAAAATTTCATCATCCGGCATGTTCCATGAATTGCTATCAATTACCCTCTGGTAAACTAACATAGCTACGGAAAATCACCTTTTTTTATGGGTAAATCCACTCAATTAGTGTACAAACCCATGTGGCTCCGTTGCGGTGTTTGTCCGGCGGATGACCTGCGGATTTTCACTGGGGAACGGGTAGGACCTGAGAAGCACATTTGTCTTATCATGGAATATCCATCTGTGGCAACTTGGTAAAGCTACAAGACATGGGATCAGAAAGCATGTTATCCAGAGCCGAGAACAGCTTTCTTTTCCAAGAAGTTTCGAGTGCTTGCTGGTTTTAGTGGCAAATGATTCAAATGACCCCACTATTGTTTGGTTTATAGTTCATGGCATATCAAGCAAACAAAATTAAACTATGTAACTAAACATGTGTTGTTCCACATTGCCTTGGCAAGATGGAGCATTCGGGAAGATCAAAACTTGTCCTACCTAGGATGATTCTCAAGCATGAGCAGAGCACTGATGGGGTTGTTGCTGAGTAAACCTTGCTCGATGGTTGGTTAATGTTGGTTACCTCCTTGATTAATTGATATAGCATGAAAAAGCTATATAGCTATAAACACATGAATACATTAGATCTGTCGTCAGATCTATCTGTATCTCATGGTTTAAATATTATTGTTTTTTTGTCAAGTATATGTATATCTACTCCAACCTGCCTTATCTTTATCGGTTACAGCAACTTGTTTTAATGGATCCAGCTATGGTCGCTTCCAGATGGTCACCATCATCTCTGCACTGCCACAGCAGAACATGGTGGAAATCAGGCGAACGTGGCCCCCCACAAGTGGGGGTCATGGGAGGGAAGGGCTCCACAAAAATTCCAGCTTCAATTAGGTGGTTAGTTATGTTACCCCGGATGAATGCTGGAAATTATCCCTGTAGAAGCAAGATTAGGTTTTCTCGGTGAAATTAGCAGAAAAACTTGGGATGTGTTGCCATGTACCATGTGGTCCACCTTCAGACCGAGGAAACCGCAGAATCTTTCTTTGGAGTCATGATCCCCAAATTGAGCCATTAAACATACCATTGTTGATTGAAGTTGATTGATCATTCCAGGCACTTATACTATGTTATACTACTTGGGTTATTGGGCATCATTAAAACATATTATAGGCCAGAGTAAGGAACCCAATTGGTTAATTTTCACATACTATATTTGCTACAGGGGTTAGACCACCAACCAGTCAATGTCGTTTTGTTTTTTTTTCGCCGGGTACTATAGGACTTTGCCCATAGCTGATCCGTGATGTGTCAAGCAGTCAAGCAGAGCTGCTAGTGTTCTACCTTACCATGCTCAGGAAATACCATGCTCAGAGCTGCTTCTACCTTACTAGCGTTTGATAATCCTAGATGATCCTAGATGATCGTGTGGGTAACTTCAATCTACCCATGGTATAGGGATTCCACCAGCACGGTGGCCGTGGCACCGTGGCCGCCTTGGAAAGCCCGGGGAACTGACAAGCTGAAGTTCGTGAAGGGCTGGCGCGCTCCGGGCATTTGAGGAATTTTATGTGTCAGTTAGATGTTTGTTTACCATTGCTATCGCTGCCATCAGAATTGTTTTTTTCAAATGAACTGCCCTCTTCAAACCTTGAAAAACTGCCCAAAATCTGGGGATGATGAGGATCCATGGGGTCCATGTTCCGCACTCTGTCCAGGTGGCCTTGGCTACATATGGTTTTTCTTACGAATGCTATTTTGGGAAGCATGTCCACCAGGTAGTCCACCATTCGCGGGTACAGATATAAATAGATATATATATATATATAATTGTGCATATGTACTATCTACTGTATTTACAAAAGTTTATATCTTAGTATACATATGTATTTTTCAAAATCATTCGCGTCATTTGTTGCATAACCATGGAAACCATGGCGCCGCAGATTTTAGCTGATTGAGTTGGCTGATTTTCCTAGCATTTCCTCGGTGATTTTCCAGTTGCAACAAATTTCCAGAGGGTAACTTGTTTTAAAGACCCCAGCAACTAGTTCGATGCATCTACCCTAACCCCCCAGTTCCAATTGTTTTTAAAAGACCATTTAGCATAGATAGATCCTATATATATTATATAAAACATAGTTACATAGTTACATATAATTACAACGTAGCTAACCTGGATATAGTCACCAATTTACCTAAGGGTTAAGTATTAGGGGCACCACCTTACATTGAAATCATTGGGTGGTCACCAGGGCTCGTATGGTTGACGACAACGGAAACTGGTTATTGGAGAAGGCGAGCGGCGTATTTAGCGACGACTCATGCGTCATGCTAAATGGGAGATGCAAACGGGGATTGAAACCAGAAAAATCGTGGTTTTTATCTGTGTTTTAGCCAACAAAAAACCTGAGACATGGTGGATTAACCAACATCAAATGGTTTTATGGGATGTAACCATCAAGAACTGTGAGTCACATGGTGGTTGACCATCAAACATGGGGATTTCACCAGCGAATACAACGTTATAATGGGCAAAACATGGCACCGTTAAATCTTGAGGTACCCTATTTTCAGACAAACCCAAATGGTAGGTAAAGGAGACCGTCCATTTATGTTTTACTACAGTTTGCAGGAACAATTCTAATGGAAGACTATGTGTTTGATATCAATATCCCGACTATATGCATCCTGTTGCTAGATGTTTGCTCTTACTACCCTTAGCTGAGCCAACCGTTGATTTTTCAGTTCCTGGGCCGAAACTGTGAACCTTGATGGGGGTTTCCATAACTGGGGGATCCCCAACATGGATGGTTTATAATGGAAAATCCTATTAAAGTGGAAAATACTACCAAAATGGATGATTTGGGGGTACCCCTATTTTAGGAATCCCCCTAACAGGAATCCTTCAAATGAATCCAGCTGTATTCAACCCGAAAGATCGGGATATCAGTGACAGGACCTGCAGGACTCGCTGGGGAACATTATCCGGAGAAAACGGTGGACAAACCCGTTTTTTTTTTTCAAAACCGTGTGACCCTGACCCTGTGACTTGTTTCTGCTCAAAACAATCTCGAAAGGCTCAAGTGGTTCTGTTCATTGTCCTCTCAAAACTGGATACTGTACTTGGATCGGATCCATGTCAAAAGTCCAGCAAAAACATCTGCGTCCCTCTGACAAATGCCATCTGGATCCCTCTCGTAATCAAACATGGCAATGGGAAATCGCTTGATATTAGCAATATTTAGCAATTGATATTGATGCAATTAGATTATCAATTGTCAATGATCATGTAGATGATCAACGCATAAGTACTAAAAGATGAATTCCATAGAGATGTCCATTCTCAGTCGTTCAACTGGAGGGGAACCCGACTTTTTCACCGGGTTGCGGCCTCACAGTGGACCTTGCAGGCTCCAATGAAGTGATTGTTTCGCTTGCGCGGGCTCCGCTGATGAAATCATCGGGGGCCGTGAATCGACAAACGACGAATCAAGAGATGACAAAAATGACTGGAACAAGGTGGGGCTCCCTGGATGGCTCAGGTGGTTTAGAACTCCAACAATTGGGGATAATTGGGGTTTATGGATGTTTATGGTAGACATATATATATATATATTTATTATATGTTTCTTAATGGGTTTTATACATGTATAAACATGAAACCAGCTTATAACTGCTGGGGCCCACCAGCCATGTAGTGTTTGACCGAGATGTGGGAAGTGGGAAGTCGAGGAGTCACGGCAAGCGTGGGAAACAATCCCAGAACAAGTTTGAGTGTTACCCAAATGGAGGTTTCCTGAAATAGGGGTACCACCAAATCATCCGTTTGATTTTCCATTATAAAACATCCATTTGGGGTACCCCCATTTCAGGAAACCCACAAATAGATTTACAACCAGCAGTGCTATTTTGACCAACAACAAGTTGGGGTGTTGACTGAGTTGTTTTACCAACAGTCATGTCTACAATGACAACATCAACAACTCAGCGAGTAAAAATTAACAGTTCAGGTATTTTAACATAGCTGTCATAATAGCTTTGGACAAACAGTGTGGTTTGTTTGGCAACAAGACCAGAGAAATTCCAGGTATTCAGACATGCCCAATCAGCACAATGTTCCTGGAACAGCGCTGTTCTGGACTAAATTGAATCTACAGTTCCTTTCAAATCACAGGCATCCCCAAAACAATCATTTTGTGGCAGATTCAGATTGCATAAACCATATGTATATATATATATATATACATACATATATATATATATACACGTACATATATATATATATACATATATATATATATATATGGACATATATATATATGTATATATATATACATACATATATATGTACATATATAATTTAATATACATAATAATATATATATATATATTACATATTTGGAGCACTGGTTCACTCTTCATGGAAGTCATTTGTTGCTGCCAAAACGTGCCGTTTCGGCTCTGGGCGCGCTGGGAACGCAAGTATTTTTTCGCTCTGCAACGTGCTGCTTGTCAGCATGCAGGGTTGAAGCTGCTACAGAAAAGGGACCAAATCAACGTTTGGTCTCCTTAGAATGTCTACCAGAAGTGTTCAATCCCCCATTCTGTCCAATGCGCAGTTTCGTTGGATGAAAGTAAGACATAGTAGGTCATGTTCAAGGCATTTGCAAGGGTTCCTCAGTTTGAGATCTTGACATGTTACTGTTCATGCTTTGATGCGACGTTATTTGCAAGTGTTCAGTTTGTTTCACGTTACTAATGTGTTTTGGATTCAAAGTATGTATGAAACTTGTGTATATATATATATATATCTATATACATATACACGTTACATATTATATATACACGTATTTACATATAAGATGTCATAAGTAGACATAAGTAGTAATGAGTCGGAGTTTTGTGTGTAGCAAGGCAAATGTATACATACATGTGCAACTAACATACATGTATATACTATATACTGGTACATTATAATCATATGCATGTATGTAAGTATCTAAATATATAGCGTTTTAGATATCCATCTTAGATATGCATACACATATATGAACGATAATCACATATATGGAAGCTACAAGGCTATAGGCTATTCTCTTTATTGAATCAGGACCACGTCATCCATGGTAGCACCCTTTGAGTCCCATCATGTGTCTGAAATGGTGGATTCAACATTATTCACCTCCAATTCATGAGCATATTAATATGGAACATGTTGATTAAGAATAGGCAAAGCTTCCCATTGTATCCATGTGTTTCGTTCATTTTCCAGAGACACGTATATGTATTTGTTATTTGTCCATGAATGTGCACGGTGAATTCACTATTGCAGGCTACCTTTCCTAGTCATTGGTACCCCAGTCCTCAACAAGTGATTGCCTAGCAGTCACGAAGTCTGCAAACCACTTAGCAACCAGAAACTGGTATTTGCTGTTGTGTAGTATGTATATATATATATACTCTTGACTACAGATGGGCACACTACATGTGTATACTGTATGTATATATATATGTATACAATCATAACAAGTTCTCATCACTTTTCTCATCCTTCAAATTCCATCTTCCAAGGTGATGGCACGGCTTATGCTGAGCCCCGCTGTGAAGAGTCTGACCTTGGACCCTTCGCCCCTTCGCACCGCACGCGCCGCCCCCGTGCTGCGCCGGTCCGCGGCTGTGTCAGGCAGGGCTTTGGCGGATGGGATCCAATGAAGGCAGGTAGATCATATCCAGATATACGGGGGTATCCAAAAATGGTTGGTTTATAATTGAAAATCCAATTATACAAAATTGATGATTTGGGGGTACCCCTATTTCAAGAAACCACCATATCTTGATAGATATATATATATATTGTTATCCAGATATATCTAGATAGATGTTGGTAGTTCCATCATTTGTCCAACTGTAGGAGATCCGTACAAGTGCCTGGAAATCAGGCATGGCTCAACAAAAAGCGGGTACCAAAGGAACCACTCAATTTTCCGCTCTCAGGGTCCGGTATGTTGTTCACTGACTTGCCATGTTTCTCCAAAGTGACTTTTGATGGCATAGTGAAATTCACGACTCATTTGAGACCCAATGTGCCAATGTGTTGAATGCATTTGAATGTTGCATCTAGTTCAAGTGTGCCATAGGTGTGCCTTAGTTCAATTTTTTTTCTCCCAGCATTGGTTGACGGGAAAATCTGCAGGAAATCCTCATTATTCATGGAAAAAACCATGAATTCCTTTAATTTTTGCCTTAAACCAACCCATTGATTGATGTTCAGATTCATCGGTCACCAAAACATGTGGAGGTGTCATGTTGGCAGTTTTGTGTGGCCATTGGTCTTGTGGGAGCCATTGATCTTGAGCTGGGCACAGATCAGCTATGATCATCTACTCTTCTTTGGAGGATTTAGAGAGAGAGAGAGAGAGATGAGGGAGCCCGGGTACCCGAGGTTTGTCAAAGAAGCCCATTGGGATTATCAAACTCTGAAGTGGCATTCGCTAATCCAAGATCATGTCAGCTAGTGTAGCATAGTGAAGCATACTGAACAGCTGCATCTTCATTTATGGTCAATAATCAGGAATAATCATTCATGGTTGGTTTTATAATCCCCATAATCATTCATAACTCCCTTAATAGCAAGTGGTTTATATTCCACATATAGTTGGGGGTATAACTCATTTACTAAGTGCGATGCACCCCCAGGTAGCGAACCAGCTTTTCACCTTAAACAGTACCTGCAGTTCACATCCTGTGACCGACGGTGAGGCAACACAACCAATTCTCGCCCTGGTCGCTTCGCTGTGCCAATTCTGGCCGGAGTGGCAGCTACAGACCTTTGCCTGACATTTAGAAGTGCTGGCTGTTATTTGAACCTCCAAATTCCGCGGATCAAAGTCTGGTTCCATTCCCTATTACTGGTTAAATCACAATGCATACGCTTAAAGCATGATTTTACATCATAGCCTTTGCTTGCGGCAACCGGATGTTTTGTTGGATTAGCATCCTCGTTTCTTGGAGGACCATGTTTGTGAACAAAACATCATGTCTTGTTGGCTCATGATACCTGGTAAACAACATGTTTCGTTTGGCAATTACACACATAACTCACCTTGATCTTGACACAAGATTTTTTGCTGGTTGAATCCCATTGTTTGCTGGTTCAATCCCCACACTTCTGTTGCTTCAAAATTACCCTCTGGTAAACTAACAGTTTGCTATTGAAAATGGCCATAGAAATAGTGGATTTTCCAATGAAAAATGGTGATTTTCGATACTTATGTTAGTTTACCAGAGGGTATGATGTTTCTAGACAAAATCCGCAGGTTTTGCTGAACGAACCTATTTTCGCTGGGTTTTGATGTTTTCCCACTTCCCCAGCCTGAAACTTTAAGCGCGATCCCCCAAGGTTTCCGCACGTCGCCGAAGGAGTGTGGCTATGGCAGCGGAGCAGACCATTGAGGCGTCTCTCCCAATATACAAAGGTAGCAACCCTGAAAAAAGATCGAAGGGTAAAATCATATTATATAATTATATATATATATACTACCATAATGATAACTAATGATAGATGAATATATTTATATATCTATACAATATATGTGTATATATATAATGTAAGTATAGCATATGTAAATCACTACTTTTCTATCTCTTTGAGTAGTTGGTGGTAATTCACTTGTCTATCTTTGGGGGGTCACGACGGTCACGATAGTATGAAACCAACTGTAACAGGGGTAGAATAGGCATCTGTCATACAGATCTATATACAAATCAACTGGGGATATGTGTACAATGTGATTTTGAGAATTGGTGTTGTCCAAAACTAGGTGATATCTGATATTTTACATGGAAAGAACGATGAGCAACTAGTAGTGATACAATGGAGATACCATATTTTTGGACCAGACCTCGGCTCGGGAAACTTGGAGATATATTTCACTATAGCTAAAAGGCTTATATTGTTTTATATTACATGCCAACTTTCATGGGGGTGGGAACACCATGGTGACATATCTCTATGTTTCGTATATTGTTGTATATGTTTAGATGTTTTGCAATACATCTCCCCATGTTCCATACATCTCCCCATAGTCATCCTAATAGTCCTATTTTGATCATCCTGCCCTTCAGGCCAATGCTTACTTGAAGTCCAAGGTGGAGGTGCAGATGGGGGATACCCTCTGGCAGATGAATATAGCTATGGAAGCCATGGCCCAGTTACTTCGATGATTTACCGTTTTTAAACATGATGATTTTCCATAGCAAACTGTTAGATTATCAGAGGGTGCCTCAAGTTATGGCATGTTTTCAGCATCAAATACATCAAATTGTGTAGTACCATGCGGTACCCTATTTTCAGACAAACCCAATTATATAGAGTGGTAGATATCCTGTGGATATGGTTTCAATTATATTCCTAGACGGTCCAAGAGTATCATTCATGGAATTTTATCCCAGTAGCTCTAGCAGTATTCGGATAGTATTTCAGGGATTTTCAAGGCATTTCTCTTGCTACTGGTATCTGGTTTTGAAAAGTCTCCAATATGTCAAGGTTTACAAGTGAATAATGCCGTCTCTACAAAGTGAACCCATTCTGTCTATGCTACCCAGCCTTTACACTATTCCCACACCTTGGCAGAATCGATCTGGGTGTTTCCAAACATTTTTGGACCCCCCAACAAGATAAAGAGATACGTAGGGCCTGTCCTTCCAGGGTTCGCAAATTTCTCCGGCGCATCCGTACTAGTACAGATGTGTAAACACTTGACTGGATGTGGGTGTGTCTGAAAATAGTGTACCCCTTTTTACCCAATGGTTAATGATCATTATCCCTATTTTTTTGGCTATAATTGGGAATATACCCTATTTTCAGACAAACCCATGTATAAACATGATCCTTTCACCCAATTTTTGCCCAGTATGTCCTAGATGTCCATAGCGATGTCCATAGCGAACAAAGACCCTGGCCCTGGGATGTGTTCAACATCCATCATATCCCCTCCAGGAGATGGTGGCCCTGCAACCCATCATGGTCTTTTCCAAATCTTGGTGCCCCTTTTGCAAGAAAGCCAAGGCGGGCCGCTTGGGCAATGCCTTGAGACTGTTTTTTTTTCCAAGATGTTCCCATATGTTTCTGTCAAGGCTTGTGCTTTTCCAATATGAATGTGTTTCATGTCGGTATGTTTGAAGAGATATTAAACATGTCCAATATTGTTGTCGTCAAGGTATGTTTACTGTGTCGGGGATGGATTGGTGTTGTTTCTTCGACTTCCCATCAAGGGATGGATTTACTGCACAGATACCCGCTCGTAAACAAACGGTTTGCTATTGAAAATGGCCATAGAAATAGTGGATTTTCCATGAAAAATGGTGATGTTCGATACTTATGTTGGTTTACCAGAGGGTAATATTCCATGTACCCTCTGGTAATTTAACACTATGGAAAATTACCATAGTAATCCATAGTAGATAGACGATCGAACTTCACTAAACGGGCCATGGCTTCCATAGTTGCCATAGCTATATAACAAATGACCACAGGGTAATTGTAACCACGTCTTAAACCACAAAATAATGATTTCAACCCTTACGTGCTCACGTCACTATCAGGAGGCGATGGAAGAGCAGGGCATTCGATTTGCCGTTTGATTTTTGGCAGCAGGGAATTGGCGTTAATGGGTGAGCCTTGATGTGGTTAGTTTGTGGGAAACAAGAAGGGCAGATTGTTTGGTAGTTGATTTGATGAACTATTTGATTAGTTTTGCCGTGTTGAAAGGAACATAGTCTGACCAGCTACAATCAAGCTTTCTTAGTTTGCAGGGTAAATACTCGTAGTAGCTATGATCTATTATTCTATGATGTTCGACCTGGGTAGTGAATTTCTAGTTGGATGGATGAATTCTTCAGGATGACAGACTTGTAACTATCATGCTGTGGAAAGACCCCTAGCCGCCTAGCCTGGTGTTGGGAATTCCTCGGAACCAGGTCCACCTCATGGTCTTAGCGAGCCAGCCAGAGCCAACCAAAAACATCCACGGCTTGCATCCTGAATCTTTCCCAAACGGTGCGTCAACGGGGTATACTATGGTATACTCCCATTCAGTGGCCATGGGGTTTTCCATGGTTGATCATCATAATTTCAAATAATTTCCCTAATTTTAATGGTATTCATTCCATATGAAAACGTTTTTTCCATGGGTTTTCCCCTCATTTTTCCAAGCCATCTCCTAAGGTGAGCTGGACACCCTAGGAGATGAAGTTGAAGCTCAGGTGGCTTGTGGGTGTTGGAAAGCCTCCCGTTCAATGGAAATGATCAGCCAGTTATAGTAAGGTATGGATGCAATTCTTATGAAAACATGTTATGAAAACATGTTATGAAAACATGTTGAGAATTGGGATTTCCATATGGTTTTCCCCCACTGCCAGGTAAGATTACCAGAGGACGAACATTTCTCCATCCCTCGATTGATTCACACATGATGTATTCACCAGGAAATATCGCGCTAGCATCATCTAGCATCGCCATGTTTGATTGAGAATATTGAGAACGATAGTCCTTCTGATGCGTACTTGCCCTTTTCCGATAAGATTGTTTTAGATTATCATCCATGTTCATACTATCAAACACCATTTAAAACCATGGTTCATCAATGGTTTTGTTGATAAAACCATGGTTGTGATATACAATATATATATATGATATGGTTTTTGTGTTATGGATTTATACTATTAAACCATGTTTTTGTTTATACAGTATATGTTTTTGTACTGTTAAACCATGGGTTTGATGATGATCATCCCATGGTGGTTCCAACGTTCTTTCCGAAAGAAATGTCCGTTTACGTGTCCCAGTGACCTGGCGACCTGGAGCATAGATGTGGAAAACGAATGGAAGGAACATGATCTACGAATAGTGGGTACCCTCTGGTAAACTAACGGTTTGCTATTAAAAATGGCCATTTATAGTGGATTTTCCCATGAAAAATGGTGATTTTCCATAGTTATGTTAGTTTACCAGAGGGTAAACACCGTTTCGAACGCTTAGTTTACATCAGGGTCCATAAACTTGACTAATTATTGTGTTTTTTAGCCAATTTCATAGACCATCCCCAAAATCACCATGTATAACCCCGATTATCAAATGGTAGGTTTACTATTGAGTTGCCCACATTATCAATTGCATTAGCTGTGAATCGGATTAACAATGGAATAATTGGTTAAAGTCAATCCGACTATTGTTATGCATATTACATATTAGCAATGGAATAATTGTTTAAAGTCAGACCATTGTTCCATCTTTTTTTGGAGGAGGTGCGGTAATATGACTGCCATAGTGAATGCCATAGTGAATGCCAATTTTTTGGGGGGAGGTGCGGTAATATGACTGCCATAGTTGTGGAATGCCAGTTCGACCAGGTGCAAGACATTCTTTTGGGCATCACCGGGGCCCGCACCGTGCCACGTGTCTTCGTGGACGGCAAGTGCATTGGTGGAGGCATCGGGCCGGTCAATTGGCAGTTGGAATGGAGGAAATGAACAAACATGGGACATTTATATGAGTCAACCAAACCATTGATCCATTGATTGGTATATATAGATGATATAGATGGCAATCTTATCATAGATATTCATAGATATAGATTGATCAATCTATCAACCATCAATGATATGGGTTTGTCTGAAAATGTTGTGTACCCCTTTTTACCCAATGGTTTTGCTGATCATTATCCCTATTTTCTATGGCTATTTCATTGGGAATATAGCCTATTTTCAGACAAACCCTTATATGAGTCTAGACAGTCTATCCCTGATTCATAAGACATGTAATAGGAAAAATGAATGAACATGGTCGTTGTCTTCAAACATTTTGGGGATACAAGTTACAAGCAACATGTTTTTGGATGTGACCAAAATAAATTTGCATATAATACGGTCCAATATGGGTGTCATTTCAAGAGTGAACAAAACCAACATTTTTTAGGACCAAAAACTCAGGAAGGAATGTTGTGTGGCCAGACTCAACAACTCATAGGTCCAAAAAGATGCGAAGTGCTGAACAGTCGTAGTTTTTTGCAGCAAGATTGTCAATAGATCAGTGATCAACGAATTCAATGAAGTGGAGGAAAAAAAGAAGGACTGTTTTTCATTGTATACTACTACCATGACTATACCATGACTGTACTATTTACATCGAAACAAACATGATTATTGGCCTGAATGAAATCTTCACTGGCAAAATCTGACAAAGCACTTTTGGTTAATTACTTTATTCCCATGATGCCCGTCAATTTCCAGAGATATATCAGCTACATAGTCCTTTAAATATCAGTTGTGTATCATTCTGTCCCAATTTTCAGGCACCGACACCGTGAATCTTGCTGCAGATGGGACTTTGTCGAAGCTCGCAGGACTGGGGTTCAGAGATATATAATTCCAGGAGAATATCACAGCGGGGATGGAAGGCGTCACTTTCATGGTGTTTCGAACATCATTTGGAGGTTTCCTGAAATGGGGGTACCCCCAAATCATCTATTTTAATTGGATTTTCCACTATAAACAATCCATTTTGGGCTACCCCCATTTATGGAAACCCTCATTTTACAATGTTGAAATGGCCACTAAGTCGGAAGAACAACTTTATGTTTGATCAATTTTGGACTTACCCATATCATCCCATATATTTTTTCAATCTCGAGCGACCTCAAACTTTCACCTTCGACCTTCGGTACATTCATGCAGTTATATTGCTGCCAGAAAAGTCCAATATTTACTGACCAGGGACCAGGGTATCTAAGATTTGATGATTTTTATATATATTTATGAATTTTGGTGCATGTAATTCATGTTGGTCGACCTTCGACCTTTTGTTTATTTTTGTTGCAGGGTATCTAAGATTGGATGCCTTGAAACAAGCAATAGCTAACTCACCCAGAGACCACCTGGACCAGGAGAGGCCATGGAGAACTTCAAGACGAAGCTCCAGGTGGCCAGTCATTCAGACTCACATTGACATACATTGACACCAGTTCTTTAATTGATATATGCGGATATAATATGATAATCGGATTTATGTAGATATGATCTATGATCTATGATCTATGATATAATACTTATAATACTTATAATACTTATAATACTTATAATACTTATAATACTTATAATACTTATAATACTTATAATACCTTTTAATACGTATAATACTTATAATACGTATAATACTTATAATACGTATAATACTTATAATACTTACAATACTTATAATACTTATAATACTTTTAATACTTATATTACTTGTATCTATTTATTAATATGTATAACACTTATAATTCTTATTACTTATAAATATTTTATAATACTTATATTTATAATACTTATTGCTGTTTTGAAATACAGTATTAGAATTAATTTCATGGCTTATGACATGTTCCCGAAGTTTTCAGATCCACAAACAATGGGTGTTTGCATTATAACAGCACTCGGGAAATAAATGGGGATTGTTATGACCGCTGTTGGGATACTGGCCATGTAGGCACATGTGAAGTGTTAAATAATCCTGTTGTTTGGTGATGTTGGGGATTTACGCTATCCAATCTTGTCTTGGTATTGTTATCATAAACGAACTGGGAATCCGATTCTCAGTCAACCAGGATTAAATGGCATGACATTTCGGGTTTAGGTCAAACGGTTCTTTTGGCATTGACATGTGCAGATTTTTTGTTTGTTTAATGTAAACAAACATCACGGTTAAAAAACAATCACAAACACATACGTGTTTTTTTTAAGAAGGCTTTTAAAACAAAGATGTCAAACGACATTTGACTTGTCAAGTGAAACTGCACTCTACCGCAGTCTACCACTGCGTCCTGGTCTCCTTTGGTCAGGGCGCAGGAAGCTTTGACCTGCAGAAAAGCGACCAGGAGTGGACGAGTTTTTTGGGCCTTGGGGCTCCAGCGGAGCGCTAATAGTGATGGGGTTCCACAAATAACCAGGTTAATCCAGGTTATATATGGTTATATGGCATAACCATGGTGGTAGGGGTTCTATTCCAACCTTTGAAGATAAATATATATATATATTTATAATTATATATATTTATTTGTTTTTCACCATAGCTTTTCGTTGGGCTTCTTCCCAACTCATAAACCTTATGGAGGTAAAAATCCTATAGTTATACCCACGATTCAACCGGGAGCCAAAATTAGTTTATTTCATGTTCAGGAATTAGACTATTAGACATGTGTTTTGAAATGGTTTTCAAACTGAACATGGGAATTGTACCATGTCTCAGGACCGGAAGGTATATCATGGTGTATCCATATGAAGGGATTCGTACCTAGGGATGATGAAAAGGCTCAACCATCCAGTGCACAGGCTCTTTGCAGGTATTTCGGTTGCTGGTCGCTTAGCCACCGGCGCGCAACCATAGTTCTACCCCACGTTCGAACTGAATCCAGAACATGAGAATAACACTATGATTTAGCAGGAGCCTGCCAACCGTGGTGACTTGCTACTTGGGAACTTTGAAGTTAGTCTCATACCCCCAAGATGTGTGCCAGCATCTACCCTGCTCCTTTGTTTCTTGATGTTTCATGCTACTTTTCATCCAGAAATTCCGGAGACCTCTAAGTCCAAGCACGGTCCATGTCAGGGGTTGAACCCTGCATCCGATGCATCCCCTTCCAAAAACCTCGGTGATACGCCTTGAAACTGCCAAAAATATCCAGTGAAAAATGTAATTTTAATGTGTATATATATATTATACATAGATAGTATATTCATAGATAGATAGATGGATGGATGGATAGATAGATAGATAGTCAGTATATTCATAGTATCTTCATAGTGCTGCTTTCATCTGATACAATCTGTTGGTTTTTAGGGTAATGTGGTACACCCAATAATAAAGTGCCCCCAATTCTCAACCATTTGCAGTTGGGTATAGTATACCCAATTCCAAAAACCCAATGGGTGAGTTTATGATGTGGTCTTGGGAAATCCTTAGTTCCATGGTCATCCCCCATTTACGGAATAGATGATCAGATCACCCATTTACTGACCCAATTGCCAGTTATCAATCCATAGAAATCCATACTGTCAATGTAAATATACATACACTTATGACAGTAGCTCTAATTTCTCCAGTCTAGAAATCCAGTTATATATAATATATAACTATATAATATAGTGTAATCTGGAGCCCAGAGAGCCCCGCCATGTCTCTTGCCTCAGGAGTGGCAGTCGGCCTTGGATGCGGAGCGTTTCCAGATTCTGCGCCGGCGAGGTCTGGGCATAACTGGCGCTTTTTTGGGGAAAATCTAAAGGAAACCATGGTTTTGACCACTAAATATGAGGGGTGTCCTGTAATTTGTCTCGTAAATCCATTGAACATTAGGATTTAACATGATTTAACAATTTTATAGATGAAAAAATCATGATTTGTGGTGATTTACCTGTTTCAATTGGTGATTTCGTATAACCATGTGAAATTACCAGAGGGTAACCATCCAAAATGGGATAGAATGGGTATGTTTGTGAATATGAACCAATCATATTCTGGTTGGTATTTTTTGGGGGAAAGTATTTACCATGGTACTTACCTATGAAAAGTCTATGGATTCGCCTAGGAAAAATGGTTGGAATTGGTTGGATCTCATGGGGATATCACCAATTAGGCCTCTGATCCCCGGCTGCACTTGGCAGGTACGGAAATGCCTGGATCCCATGAGTACGACAAGTTCTTGCCAAAGGCTCGAAAAAAAGTTGCGGCACAAGGATGGACACGTGGCAATGGGCTTTTAGAGCTGCCCATGTGTGGAGATAAAACTTGCGCTTTTCGGAAGCTGATTGGTTTAGTTCCAATAGGATAGAAAATATAGAAAGTCCACAATTGGGGGGCATCTACTTGGGAATACCCTCTGGTAATTTAACATAGCAATGGAAAATCATCATTTATAGTGGATTTTCCCATGAAAAATGGTGATTTTCCATTGCTATGTTAAATTACCAGAGGGTACATGTCATTTTCAATTTTTGGCAAGTGATCCAAGAAAGGTATGGCCCATTGGGGCCCCCATTTCTACAGCAGCCGGGCCCATGCATGCCATGCCCCACACCGTGAGGCGGGTCATTTCTCATGTGGAGCTTGTGGCTTGCCACTCTACTCGGCAGGATCCAAATTCGCCACTGGGATCAGAATATCAGGAGTCTTGACCCAGAAGCCATTATACCCTCTGGTAAACATAGAAAAAACTATGGAAAATCACAATTTTTCATGGGACAATCCACTATTTCGACTGGGCCATTTTCAATAGCAAACTGTTTGTTTACCAGAGGGTATATAGTTTGTTGAAGGCATTGTTTTCATGTGTCCTTTCAAGTATTTCTTAGGTTCGATTCCGAGTTGGGATGAAATACCCCATTTAAGAGATAGCAACTTGATGTATAGACTTATCACTTGTGGCGCTTGTATGGTTTTACAATCTTACACCATCATGTGTGCACGCTAGATCCATATTGCTACTTGTAGCTGGAGACATCCACATCTATACGGCAGGACGCAGCCAAGACACCGTTGTAGCTGGGTGATTTCATATATCAGGTGATGATCATGGAACTGCTTTGTCGGTCCCTCCTATGTTGGCTGTACCATTGGGTAGGAGCAAGCCATCAAAATCTTAAAATGGATCTGTTTGAACATAGTATTCCCCAAACTGCCTCACAAGCTTATCATGGTTCAAAGACTTCAAACACGACTGGTTGGTGGTTTGGAACATGTTTTATTTTTCCATATATTGGGAATAGTAACCCCAAGTGGCCCAACTGACTAATATTTGTCAAGATGGTTAAAACCACCAACCAGTATCATGTTCCTACGAACATTTCCATTTTGGATCCCAATTTTGAGGTAAACCCATCCGCAGTTGGATTGCCGATGCGGGCAGCAAAGCTGAGGCCTCGACATGTGGCTGGCCTGTCTTCGACAAGTGTACCTGGGACGAGCGGAAGATCAAGGGGATGATCCTACAACAACCAACGAATCATCCCAGAATCTACAAATGTGTGAATGTGTGTATTATTGCTAATTACTAGCATACTAATTATCATTTAATTAGCATGATGAATCTGTAGGTAGAGAAGTAGATGTAGAGAAGGTAAATGAAGCCCTTCAGAAGTTTGCTCTGAATGACGAGGATTATAGTTGTGTCATCAGACCCACTGGTTGCTAGCGCTGCTAGCGGGACAGGGGATGATTTTCTCGTCCGCCAACTTCCAGGCTATTCATCCAAAGACCTGGGACAACACGTCTTGGGACAGCCGCATGGCAGAAATGGCATGAAATGGTTGGTTTCTGCCAAAACTGACCCGCCTTTGCACTTGATTTCATGTGGCTTTCACCAATGGGGTTTACGGCCGATAGCAATCTGAGTAAAATGAGTGGCGACTTTCTCGCTTTTTCCGGAGCCTTTTTCTCCCTTTTTCCTGTGGAGTGTGGCGTTAGGCCCGACGGCACGGGCTCCTTGGAGATCGTTTGCACCCGCCCGGAGCCATAAAGATGGCCTTTGACGGTGGATACCCAATGGAGCTATGGGTGTGTCTGACAAATGGGGTGACACCCCCCCAAATAATGGTTCTAATATAAGGATATATAAGGAACATATTGATAAAACACTGGATTTTGGGATGCCTTATTTTCAAAGACATGGGGATAGAATGGGGATAGAATGGGGATAGAATGGGGATAGAATGGGGATAGAAGGGGATAAATAGGACATTGATGGATAGGCTGGGATAGAATGAGAATGGGGATAGAATGGGAATGGGGATAGAATGGGATACTGTATATGATGTAAAACGAGCAGATGCAATATCCATATGTAGGTGAAATATGTTGCTACGTCACAAGTGCAATTTTCTGTGGATGAGCCCACATGTGTTTATTTCAGGTTGATGAAGTTGATGAAGGATTGATTCAGCCCAGGAATTGTAGAAACACACCAATTACTGTAAGATTGGAAGAGATGCATCACGAGCACCACCCGGGGTATTTACTGAAGAGATGGGAAAATGAGTCTGATGGCGTTGGTCTATGTTTGAGCAAAGTCATGTTAAAATGAGTCTGAAGTTGTTTTTTCATCCACAGAAAGGCGACTGGAGAATTTCTTGAGAGCAAAGCTATATGTCATAGACTCATTCCTACACTACAACTGATCGTTGGATATCTTTAGTATTCACTAGTAGTTGGGTTGGCAAAACAAAACAACATGTTGAATGGTTATTGGATGGTTGTGTCACATCGTCAGGTTGCGGCTCTCATTTGGGCCATGTCTTCTACGATGCGATCTCCGAGGCGAGATGGCCAACGGTCCAACATTACTTCAGAATCCCAAGGGAATCCTAAGGGATCGTTCTCCCTTCCTAGTAGAAAGTTGAAACTCTGGAGTTAGTGTAAGAAGCGCTGATTGTCATGATTGTCAAGTCATAGAGGGATATAACAAGCTGCATACTTAAGCTACAGTATAACAAGCTGCATCTGCCTATTTGCTAACCAAATTCAGACGTCAACACTTTTGACCTCCCCTGCGCATCTTCTGCGCACTGAGACCAACCCGAATGAGGAACGTCACTGAGCCAACGGGCTCTCTCTCCAATATCTGGAGGGAGAGCCTGAGGAGGACACAGAACTGAGCGCAGGGCCTGGGAGGAAATGGATGGAAATGGTATTAAAGCTCCACCATCCCTTATTTTAATCTATATTTTACAGTACCATTTTTATGGGTATAAGCCATCAAAATATGGAAGGTTTACCAGTAGTACCGCACAAGGCGGTGGCGGAAGTTTCAAAAATAGGAAACCTATAGGAGGGGTTGGTTGTTGTGAGTCACGGATGGCAGAGCGAAGCCACTGATGGACCGACAGGTCATTGAGGTCTCTTCTCTTTCTCTCTCTTTCTATCTTTTTCCCTGACTATCTACCTACCTACCCACCTATCTATGTATGTATCATCCATCTCTCTCTCTCTCTCTCTCTCTGTCTGTGTCTGTCTGTCTATTTATCTATCTATCTATCTCTCTCTCTCTCTCGTCTCTCTGTCTCTCTGTCTCTCTGTCTCTCTGTCTCTCTGTCTCTCTGTCTCTCTGTCTGTCTGTCTGTCTATCTGTCTGTCTGTCTGTCTGTCTGTCTATCTGCAAGCTTGAAAACGAAGCGATTCTGCGAGACTGCATCAGTTTTTAAACTTGACAACATCAAAAACGCAGCAATTCAGCGAGATTTCCTCAATTTTTGCACTTGACAACATCAAAAACGAAGCAATTCTGCGAGACTTCCTCATTTTTTAAGTTGACAACATCAAAAACGAAGCAATTCTGCGAGACATCCTTCAAAAATGGAAAGTTGAGTGCAGAACTGACGGCCTCGTACCAATGCGTTTTGCGATTTTTCCAGTCCATCCATCTGTCTAAACTACTGCGCCCACGAAAAAGTGATGCCAGGTCATACGAGGTGCTGCACCTGTCACTCAAAATGACTTCAGCAAACCTGAAGATCTCAGGCTCCAAAATGCAACCCCTCTCAGGAAATCAGCGCCGGACCTCCTAGCAGCTCTGATGAACATGTCTCTTGTACTGCGCCTGCCACGGAAAATGCATCTTTGCAGATCGTCTTCAAATGTCCCACGCCTGCCATCGTTTTTGGAAATGCTACAAAGCCCTCACGTTTTGCTCACTTTTAAGAAGGTGCACAATCCCTTGCGCCTGCCACGCGAAACGACATCTCAACGTCCAAAAGTGGCGCGAACATGTGGTGTTTTGTACATTTTGACTTCGAAATGTGCTTCGCGCCACAACGGTGTGCACTTTTTCGACATCTCTTCCAAAACTGTTCCGAGAATTGTGTTTTTGGTACATTTTGACTTCGAAATGTGCTTCGCGCCACAACGGCGTACACTTTTTCGACATCTCAACTTCCAAAAGTGCTCCGAACGTGAGGTGTTTTTTAGCTTTTTCATTTGCAAACGTGCTTCTCACCACAACGGTGTACACTTTTTCGACATCTCAACGCCCAAAAGTGCTCCGAACGTGAGATGTTTTTTAGCTTTTTCACTTGCAAACGTGCTTCTCGCCACAACGGCGTGCACTTTTTCGACATCTCAACTTCCAAAAGTGGTCCGGAGCTGGTGTGCTTTGTACATTTTGACTTCGAAATGTGCTTCGCGCTACTCTTCTCTTCTCTCTGACTCTTCCCATCTCTGCTTTTCACCTGTCCATATTGTCGGAAATTTGACTTTAAACTTCCTTCGATTATTTTTTTACCAACATTAATTGCCATCCAAGGACTCTCAGAATGTTCTTCTGGCGATGTGATGGGGTATACGACTGTGATAAATTTCAGCTTGTTTTGATGCGCTGATCAAATTCTAGGGACTCAAGCGACGGATTTGAGCAGTGACTTCTGACTGGTTGGTGGTTTGGAACATAATTTTATTGCTCCATTCAGTTGGGAATAATAATCCCAACTGACTTTCATATTTTTCAGAGGGGTTGAAACCACCAACCAGCTGAGTTTATGATGTCTTATTGAATTCTTATCAAACCCTGGAATGTTGCACTGTGTATATTATACATTATTATACATGACCAATGGTAACACTTGGACACCCAAAGGAACTACCAAGCGCCCACTACCAAGCGTCCCTTTGTGGAACTTGCTTCGACCCTGCTTTGGACATGGCCTCCCATCCCCTGGAGATCGTAACGTGGTTGGAATCCATCATCTGGCCATCATTGGGACCTGCAAGTTCCGGTCATTTCGACCATGCATCATCCAAATGTTTTGATTCATAGCAGTCTAGAATCAAATCTTTATATAAGTTTATATATATATATATCTTCCGGTGAAATCCTTATAATCTCCATTAATATCCAGTTTGTATAACTACCCACATGGCCATGACTTCATCCACAACATTTTTGCCGGCTTCATCGCACCCCAGGAGCTGACCGAAGACAAGCTGAAGCTTGTCTAAGCACTGCAGCCTGTGCGCAGATGCAGATACGGCGGAGAAGTTTTGGAATGAAACCACCAATCAGGAAAAGAATTGAAATCCCGGAATGCCATTGATTTTTTTTGGCTGGTGGTCATTGTCGAACTGTCAAGGATTTAGCATGTTTTGGGCGGTATAGATAAGACCTTTAGACATCTTTCGACTATATCACTGGGTAGTGCAGTCATTCGATGAACACCCACAACAACACCCACAACATTGTGTGAAAGGTGTGGGCCTAGGTCAAATTGCATCTCGCACCAGTGCAATTTGGATATCGAATGGACCAGGTACTTCGCTGCTGTACTTCAATGTATTTCATATATACCCTCTGGCTATTTAACATAGCCATGGAAAATCATAGTAGGTAAACCATCTCTAAATGGGCCATGTTCCATGGCTATGTTAAACAACCAGATGGTACCCCATCCAGTTCCTAAGATTCAGAGAGTTCTCGTAAGCGCATCAGACCAAGATTCTTCAGTTGCCGTGTCTTCTCGAAGAAAAATCCCAAATGGCAAAGTTGCCACTGGCCCAGCAGCCAATGTACAGAGCTTCCGACCACTTTCTTCAAATGGGAAGCTGAAGGAAGTTGACATCTTGAAGCACTGCAGTCCTTGCATTAAGCAGGACAAGGTACTGTTCCCTCCGTCAAATCAAAGTTGAAGTGCAGCGGGCAGGTTCTGAGTGGTATTTGCGTTGGCTTATTGTTAACCTAAGTTCATCACAGTATGGAAATAGGCGTGGCTGATCCCTTCCTGATATAAAAATATAAACTGGTTGGTGGTTTGGAACATGAATTTTATGACTTTCCATTCAGTTGGGAATACTCATCCCAACTGACGAACTCATATTTTCAGATGGGTAAGTATACCACCTCACCAACCAGATAAAAGACACCGCTGGTTGAATACTGGATGGATTCATCATGGATCACTGATCTTGCAATCGCACAGCGAAGAACATGCAGTATTTGACGAAGGCTTCAGGGCCAGGTGCGGAAATGTCATTTCTGACAAAATTTCCAAGGAGGAATTTCAAACCCTGCATTTGTGTATTTAAGATAGACTAATTGAATCTAATTGCTTTCATTTTCTTTTATATAAATCATATAATATTATTATTTGTTTGATTTATTGATATATTAATTATTAATATATTATACAATAATCTGTACTGGATCGATGTTGTAACAAGTGCCGATGACAAGATCTTGTGCCAAATCGTGGCGTGCCTATGGGGAAAGGCCCACATGGGCAGCGCCTATGACTGTAACTTATTGATGTATTTTTTGGCACTTCGCATAGGCACCATGCTCATCTGTCATATCTTTGTGGGTTTACCCACTATACTCCCAAAGATGAAAGTCGTGGCAATTGTATACTTTTCCTGGACAAATTTTAGGAAGTCGTTGCAGTCGCGGCGTTTAAGTGGTGATGTGTGAGGTTTGAAATTGGTAACACGTTTAATACGTAAAAAATGTGTTTGAGTTGTGTTTCGCTCCAGTTTAGGGCTCAAATATAGACAATCGAACATAGGTCATCCTGACCTGCTGCCCCATGCCTGGTGGTTCCTCTGCCCATGGCTCTGCTTTCTTCCCCGGACAATTTTAGCCTTTAGATATCTTTGGCTATCACGGTTCCCACGTCTCAAACAGTCTGTGCCCGCTCAAATTTGTTACCGCCGCCTTGTTTGCCAAGCTTGTGTCCCTTTCTCTCCCCTCTGTCTCCCTTATTCGCCCTTTGTTTCCTCTTCTGTGCCGTTGCTCTTGCCTGTAGCTGCTGCTTGGCTTGGTTTGCTCTTCTGCTCCAAGGCTGAAAGCTCTTGAATTTTACTGTTCTGACAAGAATGCGAAAGGGTGTGGTTACCAAAGAGTTTGTCAGGAGACTTAGGGGGTCAATCTCCTAAAATCTGGATTTCGGACCTCGTGCGCATCTCGTTCGGACCTCGTTACAATTGCAGCCAGTCAAAACGCAGCCCGGAGAAGTTTTGCAAAGGCTTTGTAATGGTTTGCTGCATATTGCTGTATGGTCTGCTGCTCCTGCTGCTGTTGTTGCTTGTACTGCTGCTTCTGGGCAAGGCGCGGTTTTTGGGCAGAGAACCAAGAGATTCGTAAAAGGGCTGGAAGCTGCGCGGAAGAATCCAAAAGCATAAGAAAATGACCTGAAAAAAGAAAATTTATCCGATCAACGGTGTACTATGGGGAAAAGGATAAAAGGATTAATTAATATAAAATATAGAATTTATTATAGAATTATAGAAACCATAGGAATATAATATCGAATATATCTAATTTTGTATGTTGGAAATACTATGAAGCTTGGTTTACCATACGGAGGATGATAGGTTCGGTATTTGGAGGCATTGACTTTTATTTTCTATAGAGAGCGGGTAGTTATGGGGGGCGAGGTTGTGAAAGTCCTGATTTTGTTATATTAGTCATTAAATTTATAATTATATTAATTATTACATTGATTATTATATTAATTATCATAATATTCATTATATAAATTATTAAATAAATTGTTTGATTAATCACTATATTTATTATAATATTAATCATGATATTATTTTTTTTTTAAATTATTATATATATATATAAAATTATTGTATTAATTATTTTATAAACCATTTAAAAAATTATTTAAATTAATTATTATATTTATTATTCTATGAACTAATTATATTATTTTATTTATTATTTATTAATCATTATATTAGTAAATAAATTAAAAAATATATTAACTATTACATAAATTATGATATTAATTATTTTATTAGTTATTATATAGGCTATTAAATGAATTATGACATGAATTATAACATGAATTATTATATTTATTATGAAATAAATTATTATTTTAGTTATTCTACAGAAAATTATATTAACCATTAAATTAATTATTAAATAAATTATTATATATATAATTATTATTTTAATTATTATATAAATCATTATATAAGCTATTTTATTAATTATTATATTAATTATTTAAATTAATTATTACATTATTTATTATATTAATCTTTGAATTAATCTTTTTATTGGTTATGATATTTATTATTTTATTCATTATGATATGAATTATATTAGTTATTAATTATTATACTAATCATTATATTTGTTATTATATTAATTATTATATTAATTATGTTATTAATTATAAAAATATATATATATAATTATTATATTAATTATTATATTAGTTATTTTTTATTGTTATATTAATTATTAAATTAATTATGAAATTAACAATTATATTAATTATTAAAATTATTATTATTTTAAGTGTTTAACTAATTATTTTATTTATCATTTAATTAATTATTATAGAAATATGTTATGATATTAGTTATTATATAAATTATTAAATTAATCATAATATAAATTATTAAGTT